CAAACTCAACAAAACACCTTCGTCTGCACGGTGTAACACTTAGCGAGTGTGCTGTGTTTAGCTCGTTGCGTCGCTCTCTTTACCCGTTGCTTCGAACAGTCAAACTTCATCATCAGCCAACATCTCCTCGTTGCAAACAGAATCCAGTCGTTGAAAATTCTGGTTGTCTCATTCTTGAAAAACCCGCTGAAGTTATAGACGAACAATTCCTAAAACTGTGTTTGTCTGTTTAAAGTTGTTGAACACTCGCAAAGTGATGCTAACGTTAGCCAGTCACAGCCTGCTGCTGCTGCTATGGTAACCAGTCGACCCCAGACAGTTTTTTGTCTAATGGCAACTTGATACAGTTCCATCAAACTGTGTCAATTCATGTCAACTGTCATGTGAATAAATAAATTGGCCTATTAAAAATCTTCTCCTGATGAATCAGCTGTGACCTGTTGACTTCCATCCCAAAGAATCGGAATCGAGAATCGGACTTGAAATCGGTAAAATCCAAACAATACCCAACTCTACTTATGCCACATGGACATGGCCCCTGAAACTACACAACCCAAGAGTTGGTGCTCTGCAAAAAGTCACCTCAGCAAACTTTCACTCTGCAGACACACAATCTGCACGATTTTACACGGTTTTATTAACTAATTTCTATGAGCAGACCAAATCATGACTTCATTTTGTATTGATTTTGGCGCCCCCTGTGGAAAAAAATTGTATTGCAATATTTCATCCCTTGTGTTTATTTAGTGTTTCTTGACTTAAATCTCATCCTGTATCTTTGAGACGCTCAGATTTAACCTCTCGCTGTGAAATATTGATCTGCAGAGAATATGAATGTGAACATAACAAACAGGGAAGAAGAAAGTTTGAATCCTGGAGGACAGAAGAAAAAAAACCTGAGAGGATGTGAAAGTCTGATACTTACAGGGACACCGTGATATAAATATGAGTGTGTGTGTGTATGAAAGTGTGTGTGTGTGTGTGTGGCCTGCTATTACGAGTTAAGATCTCTCTCCGGGTGTACAGAGATGCACTAACAGCCTGTATCCTTCCTCCCTCCTGAGGTGGTTGAAAGTGGAAAGTTGAGAGTCTGAATTAGATCCTCTCTCTCTCCCTCTCTCTCTCCTCTCTCTCTCTCTCTCTCTCTCTCTCTTTCTCTCTCGATAAGAGCCCCACGCTGCCGGGCGCCATCGACCGCCACCTCCCAAGTTCCTCTGCTCTGCCCGAGGCCCTCCGAAGCTAAAACAGCCGGTAATTACATCCACCACGCCGGAACACCGAGCCACTCCGCCTAAACAATGAGTCGATAAAGTGCTGCGGCTCTTAAACAACAATAAAGACCGAAGGTAGAGCCGGGCATCCAAATATCACTGAGAGTTCAAGGGGGAGAGCACACGGTTTTATTTAGCCGCTAATGGTCGAGGTGAGCTTTCGATGGAGCAGAATAATGAGGCGGATCAATGTCCATCGACCTGCAGCCTGGCTCGCCACACTTCCCATTACGTTCCTGCCTGAAGGTAGTCTAATCTCCTCCTCCTCCCTAAGTAAGAGCGTAACTGGAAAACACATCCAAAAAGGAGGAGCTGAAGAGCCGGGGAGGAGTATTGATCTGTGCCGTAATTTATAAAAATATTGACTTTGATTTAGTTTTTTTTTCTTGTTTTTTTGGGGGCTGGTTAGGTCAACTTTTGCTCTTTTACAAGATTAGATTTTCTTCTCATGCTGAAGTGCACAGAGAAACTGTTAAAGACGTCTGAGCTGAAGGAACCTCACTTTGTCTCTGTGGCCTTTAGTACTGGAGTATAAGTTTTTATGTACTTTTAATTACCTTATTGTCTCAACTAATCAGGTTTTATTTTTCATACTGTAACACATAATATCGTACATAAACAAAAATAAGTAATATAATACTTAAGTGTACAAAAAGACCCCTATCCCGTAATCCATATACCAGATATATAAACACAATAAAGTGGAGCAATCAGAGAGACATGAAACTGAAATGACCAAACTAAAGATAACACCAATAAGATCATAAAAAGTCAAAAAGATTAAAGATTTTAAAACGTTTTAAACGAACGAACATTTAAATAAAGAGTTAAATAAGATTATATAGACAAGAACAGTTAAAATAAGACTAAATGGTTTGTTTTTAAAAATGTTAACCCTCTGTAAAAAACGGTCTCACTGTGAGTCTCATGCCTTTTTTGAATGTGACTACTACACTAGCGGTGCGTACGAGTTTGTCCAAAATATAATACGTATTATGTGAACAAATGCAAAAGCTGCAGTACGCCAAAAATACCCGCCAAATGTTTCCATTTAAGTTAATGTACCAAATTCCACCGGCTTCTTTCCGCCCCCCCTGCGGTTCAGTAAACTTTGTAGCCGATCACCAGGGTTTCATTTTTTCCAGATGCCACAGCACGCTGCATAAATTCAGTATAAATGAACTTGTGCTGGAAAGGAAGTAAGGCACAGACACAAAATAAAACATGCTGCTTCTTTTCAAAATAAAACACTACATGTTTGAGGCAGATCGGATTTTCGCACTGTGCAAATGTGGACAGGGCTGAACAAGTCAAAGGTTTTCAGACGTCATTTCAAGTGTCTGATCTACTGGTCTGGACGATGTAGATTTCCTCCTCTGGTTCTGTGTCTGTCTTTATAGAGACAACTCATTATTGCGCGATCGCATGTGAATTTGCGGGTTCTTGTGAGTCCGCACGATTTCCACTTTCCGAAATTCGCCACGAAATTCACCTCACAAATGCATCTGTTAGGATTTGGCGGACGGCGAAAATCGCTGCCGTTCAGCAATGGTGCTTTTCCGAATGCTGTGGAATTTAGGGTTTAGTTTTAATGTACCCTTTGGTGTTTTTTTTTAACAGCCGAATTACTGCGCTGGTTTCACAACGAAGAACCTCAGCTAACTGGAACTTCTTTGGCTGATACACCTCCACTGACAAGTACCCAGTACACCTAAAAACTACTCCTTTAGCACTCGTCCGCCTCCTCTCAGAAATGATAAAATGATCCTGCAGAACACCGAGGGAGCTCATCCTCTCTATTATCAGTCCTTTACATGCCACCGAGTGTGTTCACATCACTTCCTCTTTCACTGGCGTCTCCTCAAGTGTCATTAAGTCTCTCTCCTGTGTGCAGAAACACATCCCCAGTGTCTCACTCTGCAGCTGTACCTCTCACATGAAAATGTGCTTGACGGTGTGCTGTCGATGAAAACCTCCCAGAATTAGCACTTTGTTCCAGTCGCAGTGTTTGTTGCTCATTTGGTGCTCAATTACTTTACTTAATGAGATGATTTATTTTGTTTCTTTTCAGTAAATCTTTTCATTTTCCAGCACAGTTGTGTTTTCTTTTAAGGTTTGGTTTGGAGGGATTTTACCAGACTTTTACTGCGCCCACCTCCTTCTGTCCGTAAACTTTTCGCTGTTTTGAAAAATATGATCATGAAGACCTGTGACCGACGCTGGTTTTATTATGCTTACAGCCAAACTGCACCACTGAAAATCTCAGAGAAAATATCTGCCACTCGACTTGTGGTGCATCAAGGACACTTAGAGGTTATAGGGCAAAAACAAAGTGGGAGGAGAGTTGGATATGGCTTTAAAATACGAATAAGAAGAACTTTATTGATCTCTGAGGGGAAATTCAGTTTTCTGTAGTGTCCTGTCTAAAGTCATCTACAGAAGAGCTACAAAGTCTGATGGCTTTGGGTACAAAAGATCTGCTGGATCTTTCTGTCATTCAGGATATCAAAAATACTAAATAATCTAAAAAATAATAGATATAAATACAAGATAAACCTGTTAGAAATGGGAGTTTTCACCACCTACTGCAGCAGACATGTTTCTGTAAAGAACCACCTCTCACCCGGCGCTCCGACAGTTGGCTAATTGACCTAAGCTAAGGCTAAGCCCCGCCCCACGAATGCAGATGAGCCAATGGCAGTTTAGTATCAGTCCCACCGTCTGTAGCTTTTAGCTCCATAGAGCATTAGAAGTCGAGGTTTTTCATGTGTTTTATGGCGTTAATTTATAACAGAAATAAACATGGTAAAAACAGTGTGCGTGGGGTAGATGTAATATCGACACAAGGTATTCTGACAGGATGGGTAATGGGGAGTATTTTATTCCATTTCCAAAACCAAAGACAGACCGAAGTAAATGTCTGCTGTGGAGTAAGTCGTGTGGCCAACCACACAGCTAACTTAACGTCCAGAAGATCAACAAGGATGTCCACGTTTGTTCTAAGTTACGCCAACGTCGCTTTAGCTCTACAAACTTTACCGAAAGTTATTTAATCGTCATTAGTGATGTAGTAACAGAGCTTTCACCTCTGGTAAACTAGCTAATGCTAATGTTAGCCCAGGTTAGTACACTAGCTGCGTGACTGTTACACTCAGTGTCTCTCCAGATTAGTTAAGATAGTTAAAGTTAAGTTCATGTTATCTTACTCGGCCATTGTAAAGCACTGTTCAGCTCTGATTGCTCATCCGAGTTAGCAACAGTAACTAAGGGGGGCGGGGCTTAGCAATAGGTTAATTGTATCACCTAATCAAGCTTTAACCTTGAATGTATGTGGACACACTGTTGATGACTCTTGACTCCCTTTTTCCAGTCGATCACCGTGTCTCTCCATCCTCCGTCCCACCTGGTGCTTTGGTTGTGAGCGACAGCCGTCCTCAGAAAAGTGACGCTAGATGCTCCCACGTTTTTGGATGTCTTACATCGAGATAAATATGATATATTAGAATACGTATTTATAGGTTTGGATTGGTTGACCACGTCTGAATCCCCAAAAGACGACACGACTACACAGGGTGGAATCACAGAGTCGCACAAAGTTAATTTTGAGAGTTTTTCGGGTCGGATCGAGTGTCTTTTACGCGCTTCTAACTCAGTAAGTCCATGTGTGACAAACTCGAAACTAGCGTACAAAACCGCCGACATTTGAAGGATTTTATAAACTTCCCCGGACAAGGCCGGACAGCCCCCAAAAAGAGGACATGTCAGGGTAAAAGAGGAGATATGGTCATCCTAGGTTTTGACAAAGAAAAACAGCCAATATTCTGTTTAAAAGGTAGTAAGCATATCCTTAAAATCAGCACAGGAGGACATGCATTAAAGGAACATTGCAAAGTTTTCTTCATAAGCACTAGACTAACACAGAAGGATTATTGTGCAGGTTCAGGTCCAGTCGCTCACCTTCCTGTTTGTTTTCTGATTACATAACCAGTGACGCCATTCAGGCTATTATAAGACAGTTCATCACCTCCATAATAAAGTGCTATATTTATTATAGGAGATGTGAAACTACACACCTGATATGACCACTGTGTACAGTCCACACACACACAAATGTCTCTTATGAAACATGACTCACATTAATTTCCTGTGGCTGCAGTGATGGCAGATCCTCCGGGGGGTGGTTCGCCTTTGAGCGGCTTCCTGGGAGCGCTCAGGTGGGTGCAGCCACAGCCGAGCGCCCGCTACGACTCATTCACTTGTAAATTGGGGGAAATAACAGGAGCAGATGTTCTCATTATTTCTACTCGGCCCAGGAGCTCCACCGGCAGTCAGTGTTTTGGACAATTTTCAACAACCTCTCATTTTGCAGAGAATTGTGCCCCCGGTTTTTCCACGGCTCCTGGGCGGCTGCTGATGACAGGCAGAGTGAGGAAAACATGTCTGACTCTGCCGCCGCCGCGGTTCATGTGTGTGTAACACTGCAGAAATGAGGGAGCAGTCCAAAGGTATTTTTGTGTACAAAGATGGATAACACATCCTCACCTCATTTCCTTCAAAAGCGGAGCCTTGAGACCGCCTGATGGGCGCAGGAATCTCATGCATTTGAAGCCGGAGTCTGCAGGTATTAACAGCTGTAGGATTAAACACGCCTTTGACACACTGATTAACAGTTAGCTCACAGGTGCGCCCGTTCTCTTTAGCATCAGATTAGTCATTAAAACGAAACTCAACAGAAACCCGAGCGCTCAGACGTGAATCACCAACCTGAACTGCAGGAGAGCACGTTTCCAATCGATCAGTGTTCATCCATCTGAAAAAGAGAAATACAACATTTAAGAGAGTAAACGCAGGAAATAACTGACTAGGGTTTAAGTAAGCAGAAAGGTAATATTAACTCACATGAAGCAACAACCTACTTAACCAATTAGAAAACACAACTCTTCAAAACACAAATAAAGATGATAGAAATGATCGAAAAGAATGAAAGTGAGTTTTTAGAAACTTTAATTTGACAAGAATTTTGACTTTATAGTTCTAATCTGTTAAAGGTGGTGTAGTCAGGATCTGAGTTAGTTCCAGTTTTTAGGAGAAATCTTGAATGTAAACTCTACCCCTCCCAACCAGTTTTCCCCTCAGCTCCTCCTCTCCCCTCCCTCTCTTAAGCCCCGCCCACAAACAGACGCTCCTGCTCGCTCGTATCGTTCCAATTAAATTCAGATATAATGCAGATAAATACTTCAGATCATTACAAATGGGGCCCAGTCAAGGTGAAAGTCAAAAGCATTGGTGCTACTGTAGATGCCAACAGACTACCAGCAAACACAATGTTTGCAGGACTTCTACAACGAGGATAAAGTGACATAGTCCAGGACCCGAGGGAGGACAGTTTAGCGATGGCGCTACAACACGCTACAGCAGGTCCGTTTGACAAGAAACACTTCTGTTACAGACACTTGTCTTACTTTGTTAAAGCGGTTTACCTGTCCAGCAGAAAGGTTACAGGGTCACCAAGATCCCCAAGCGTCCCCCATCGTTTATGTTGACCCGGCTCTTTAGCTCTTGTCCGGTCTACCTCCGTTTTAAGCGCCCGTTATTCCTCCAGAGTCTCCGGTATTTACTTTGTTTTCTTGCTTGTGTTTTCCGTACTCTCTGGTTGGTTTCTAAGTTCAGTACTGCCGTCTAAGGAGATGCTGATTTCACTGAATGCTGCTATTAGAGGTACCTGGACTTCGGTGTTTTAACTCCAGGTGATCTGAACCAGAGTCTGATTCAAAGCGAACCAAGGCCCCTCTTTTGAAGCAGCCTCTGTACGATGTTGTGGTCCACATCGTATCAAAGTTTCAGAGGACGACTTCTAATATTCCAGAGTTCAACGTCTGAAAATCCCAACACTGACACGACATTTAGGCCAAGCTGTCCTTCTTTACTGTAACTCTCACACAGAGCTGTGTCTATGTTATTCAAAATGATTAGAGCCTCAAGAAGAGAAACATTTAATTACAGGAGGGAGATTTTTTAATTTCCATTTCAAGATTTAAGTCGAAATTTTAAAAAGTCGAAATTTCGACTTTATTCATGTTGACTTTAAACTTGAAATTTCAGTGTTTAATGTCTAAGTTTTTAATTTTAATCTCCTTCCTGTAATTATGTTTTTTTCTCTTCTTGTGGCCCTAATCTTCTTTGGTCCTGTCGTCTGTTGTCTGACGTTTTGCATCATATTTTAAATGAGGAATCTTCTTGAATCTGCTTCCTGACACTTCATAAAAAGCAGTTTTTGCACAAATGTACATCAAACTGACCAAATCTTTGGATTTTCGGGGTGTGCATGATCAAATTAAAGGAGAGTATTGTCTGTTTGAACCAGCTGTTGTGTTTCCTTTTTTCTCCTAGAGTCTGATCTTTCTGAACTCGAGGATAACCGGGACACCTGCTGTCAAGAGGACCTGAAACATGAAACAGAGACCTGCACAGATCCTCGTCTGTACACCTCAGCAGAGATGCAGCACGTCTGAACTTTAAAAACACACAGGCAGCCAGGCTGACAAGTGTTTGCAAACCTCATGTCCTCCCACTCGCTGAGCATCAGAAACACTCTGAAGGTTGTGTTTACAGTATTGAATTAGCGCCTGTGGTCTCGTTAATGTGCGGCATCGAGAGCCGAGCAGCAGGCAGGGCTTTGATTGGAGCCGCTGCTGCTCTCGTATAATTCCTCGGCAAACAACGCTATCAGGAACACCAATGACCAGGCTGGGATTAGTGCTGACAGAACCATAATTGGATTTCCTGTACAGTTAATTGAATGAAGCTAAATCTGTTCCTGCTGCAGTTTGTGTTTCAGCGTGGAGACAAAACTCTGAGGATCCTCACAAACATTTCTACCTGGATGGAAGGAAATATTCTGAACACACCGCTTTGCTCCAAAATAAAAAATATCCCACCTGAATATTTGGATGAGTTTTCATGTCGGGTGCAGAAATAGGCCTCAGCAACGATTTGGGCCCAGAGTTACAGGAGTTGATGGTGCTGTAAGTGCATTATTTCTCTGTTTGCATTTGATAGGTTATAATGCAGGCACTAATTTATTTAAGGAACATTTATGACTTCACTCTTAATGACATAAAAATGACCGATTGCAACTACTAAGGTCGACTGTGCAGGAAGGAGCTTAAAAGTCGAACTAGGGCTGCACGAATTTAGCCAAAAATAAAATCACGATTTTTTTCTCTGAAGACTCGATTTTCGATTTTTTATTCAGTGACAACTTCACCAAACTTCAATTTAATAAAAAGTTTTTCTATCATCTCTCAAAACAAAACCACTGAAAACAATGTAGTTCATATGCCAAACCAGTAAGTGGCGCTGTAATGCTGCACAAGAAATGCACAAAAGACAGAAGAAGAGTACAGAGCATGTGTTTAAAGGTTGTTTTGGCGCCATAAAAGAGTTACGCTGTGTGTCACATGATCGTTTCCAGAGATGCAGATAGACATCCACACGGAGATGAAATGGTCGTCGTTTACAGATTTATTCACTCTCTGACCCGTTTTTAAAAAGTACCGTTTACAGTCACCTGAAACGCCGATATGACAAAAAACTTCAGCGTTTCCTCCTGAATTTGTTTCCGTGGTGACGGGTTGATACCTCCTTCAGCCCGACTTTGCAGCGGAGAGTGGTTTGCTCTTCATCTGAAACTGTGAAGTCGTACCAATTCAACACAACTGACTTGCTCTTGTCCTTTTTAACCACGAAATTATCGACTTTTGCAAACGCTGTGTTTGTTTACACTGGCGTGTGGGAACTGGAGAGTACTCTTACAGGGAGGGGGAGCCTATGGTGGCCTGGAAGCACGAGACATGATAGAGGTAAAAATCGATTCAATGGTTTTTGTTATTTAACATCATCATAATCAAATAGAATGATTATGATCTAAAATCGATCAATCGTGCAGCCCTAGAACTAAAACATCTGAGACTTTGGAGTGTGTTGTTGGTTTTCAACACACTTCCAAAAACTCCCTCTCATTACAGTTTGAGCGGGACAGATCGGACTGAAGGAGAGCCAGCGAACACAGATACAGAAGTGCAAAAACACCACAACAAATACGGCGAGCCCTCCAGAAGAACCCTCGTCAAGTACACCAAACACACCATCTAAAGTCAGACCCTGAGTCTCTGAATGTGAGAGCTTTACCTGACCTCCTGCCTTACTTGATTATGTGGTTGTTGAAGCGGCGTTCGCTAAAGTTGTCGGCAGGAAGAGACAAATTATCGCCTGCTGTGCGGGGACAGAAGACAGATATTAAACAGCTCATCCTGACCGGTCTGGCTCTAACCTTTGACATCCGGACTCTGCCAAACCTCGAGAAAACACTGAAGTTACCAGACTGCTTTTCTCTCTTCTTCTTCTTCTTCTTCTTCTTCTTCTCCTAGTTTGTTGGCAGAGACTGCAGCTTCACACCTGAAGTTTAATTTGATTGTATTTCTAATGATTGCACATGCTTCGTCTTACTCCTGACAGATTCCGGCATTAGTTTTCAATTTCAGAGAATCCACAGCAATCATTCGTCTTGTTCCCGTCTGCATCAATCACGGCTGAAAAGAGTAAACATGTGCGAGCGTTGCCAATCATTTGAGAATATCAGTGTTCTCAAACGGCGATCAGTCTTTCTGAGACAAAAGAGCGTCATCAGAATCAGATTCTTCAGGTGTCTGATGTGATTAGAGCTGGCAGCTGAAAAATGAGAAATGCTCTGGGTTTGATTCACTGTAACACATTAGAGAACCACCCAGCTGCTAATCTGCTCGGCTGCTCCTTCAAGAGAGGAGGAGGAGGAGGAGGAGGAGGAGGAGTGCGATGCTTGATTAGTCTGAGCCGCCTAATTACCCACGCTGCACTGCAGGCTCATCAGCGCTGCAGCCTCGCCTCGTTTGGTGTTTCAGTGTCAACTCGTGGAGATCAAACTGCAGAAAACACAAAGCAGCGTTAAAGAGCCATTAAAGGTCCAGAAGAGCTTAATGAGAACAATTTGCACACTAAAGTTAAATTAGATGTTTTCTTCTTCGAAATTCATCTTCTCATTACGTTCAGATTCATCAGATCACGGCGCAGCGGTTTTTTTAAACACCACAAAGTTAACTTTCAGTCCAACAGCTCGTTGTTCTTCAGTTAAAACTCAGAGTATGATTCACCAGCTGCAAAACGACGATATGAGCTGTGAGATCTGAGAGTTTACACTCGCCACAGACAGAGTCAAACAGTATTTGAGGATCTTTGTCATCTAGGTGGTGATCTGAGTGGGCGGAGATGCAGTGATGATGAGGCATGTGCTGACTGGCTGCCTGCATGTTGTCCAGAAAGGAGGGTGCTGACCAGGGATTTTATTTTTGGACAAAATCGTGCAGCCCTAATTCGTACATGTACTGAATGAAGACGGTGCTGCACTCATAAACTGTATATAAAATGGACGCCGTCTGCCTCCTCGCTCGGTGAAGCCACCGCGAGAACAGCACCCTCTGGTGACGGGCTGCAGTATAGGTCATAAATCCCACCTCCTTATGGAGCTGTGGACAAACTGTATAAATTAATGACACAGAATATAAATGTTTCTCCCCCCTGGTTGTGATGTTGACATGTAGTTACTGTCAGACTGGTTTGTGCTCAAGTCCTCTTTTTTCAGTACAGCTCCATTTTTAAAAGTTTTTAGGGGGTTCATGTTTTCTATTACTGACAAAGCTAATGGAGATCTAAATAAACGAAACGAAGCAAACCAAGGTCTGTTTTTAACTTTCCATAGACCCAGAGTGGATCATGAGCAGTGGCGGCTGCTGGTCTTTCAAGGAGGGGAAGCTCATTTTTCTGGCCTACATCATAATTGTATTTGTTTATTAGTATGTAACAGAACAGAGTCGCCAAACACAACGGCAGTCGTTTTTAACAAAGACAAAAGTCGCTGAGGATCGGTAAAGTCTCTGGAGCAGTTAAGAACAACGGAATGAATGACTTGGAAAATGCTCTGGTAGATGTTTTATTCTTCAAGATCGCTGATTCGCTTGTTTAGCTGTCAATCAAACAAGGATTTCGCCTCAGACAGCTCATCCAATCATGGATGCAGAAGCTTGGAGTCCGGGAGAAAGTCGGGACCGCCCTCTCGCCATAGAACTCCAGTGAAGCTGACCTTCCGATGGGCGGGACAAAGCCCAGCATTTATCCAATGAGCGTCTAGTTTCGCTGCTGGAACAACCCACTTTGAGCTTTCACATTGAAGTCAGCAGAAGCCCAGCGTCCGGCTGTTTAAAGTGCTGAGGCGCTGCGGGGATGAATGAGAACGAAGTTATGCAGAATCAGCTTCTTATCACACTGTGATAAGAAGCTGATTCTGAACAAAAGTTGAAGGCTTTCTTGCGCGTATTTAGTTAATGAAATGTACACACAGCGGTATGTATTTCACTACTTTTTCTTTTTTTGGGGGGGTGACATTTTAAGGGAAGCTGGGCTTCCCTTGCAGTCTTAGAGCAATCGCCACTGATCATGAGATCATCTTTTTACTCTGTCAGGTACAGGACGTCGACATTATACGACAAACCTCTCTGTGCAGATCAAATCTAAGCTTCTCCCTTCAGTCCAGACTGCGGTGAAGATCATGCGAACTGAAAACCAGACCCATGACATACCTTCCACTCTGAGCATGAGCTCCTACCTGCTGGCAGGTGATGTAGGCTCCTCCACATCTAGACTCTGGCTGTGCAGAACGATGGTAAAACAAGCTTGACAGATTTATAAAAACCTACAGAGACTCAAAAGGACTTTCACAAGTCAGTTAATTTAACTAAATCCCCATGATATCATTTCCTTTATATTTGGTCTAACTGCTTTTTAAATATGAGAATGATGCTGTTAATAAAGGAGCCTGTCACCCTCTTCATCACATCATGGTTTGAACAGTTTTTGGACTATAATGGAGCTCTACAGCGCAGAGGATGGAGATGTACATTGAGCTGTGACTCACACTGAATACTTGAAAGCAGATACGCCCACTGTCGGTTCAGCTCTGCACACAGGAATTTCTGACAGTATGAAAAATATACAGATAAGATGATGTGCAGGTTTTCAGCGGCGGCTCAGGCTCCTTTAAAGTGTTCCTCCCTCAGGATGAAAGCACAGAGCTGTATTATCCCCCTGTGGAGGCTGGCGGGGCTCTGACAGGATTTTCTCCAATAGCCCAGCGTGAGAAAAAAGCTCTTCAGAGTCACGGTCGATTCATCAGGGTACCAGGAAAGCCGGGGAAGCATCACCTCTGCTTGGAAGCCAAAAGTCCCTCCACAGTGATGGTGTGGAGGGAAATGGGATGGAAATTTAGGAGGAGAGGGAAACTGTGATAGGTCACTCAGTCGGGGGAGTTCACCACAGGCGAAAGAAGCCGTGAATAATCTGACTGTATGTCAGAGCAGAATTACTGAGCACAAACTGGGTTTTCTGAATAAAGTGACATTTGACTGTTTGGATCGATGTAGTCAATTCAATCAGAAATGTCGTTTCGTCATTCTGGTCCACGGTTCTACGAACAACCAGACAAAGTTGAATTTATGGTTTGAGGAGCACCTGAAACAAAGAGGAAGTGTTCCTGTGACCCTCGTTACTATTTCCACCGTCTGCTTTACAACCATGAAAACCCTAAACCTGAAGAAAGCTCCATGTCTGCAGGATGACCCTGGTCCTGCTGCTCAAACCCAGGCATGGTGATGTGGGACAATGAGGCTTAGACTCTCTCTATCTGCTTTCAACTACATTGGATCGTGTTCAACCTCTTTTAAAGACCCACTCCGATGAAAATCATGTTTTTCTTGTTGTCTAAATGTTCATGTTTGTTTTTCTGATGCTACAGGACATATCAGGAGAAAAACAAGTGCAAAATTGTATTTCTGCATTGAACCTCTCAGACCCAGCAGGTTCAGAAACAGTGAGATTTCTTATGTCACAAATCCAAGCTCCGCCCCCAGAGTCCCGCTATGCAGGCCAGACTCTGAGAAGAAGAGAGGATAATCGCGGAACAAGCATACGTTAGCAGACTGCAATGCTTGTAAGAAAGCTGATTATGATATTAACTTTCATCATGTCCTCAAAGACATTAGTGTCCGAGAGCTGAATAGTTCCTGTTACCTGCTACCTCTACTACACCGGCAATGTTAGGCTGCAAGCAAGCATGAAGAGGAGTGTGCAGAGCAGCGCTGACTCCGCCCACGACTCAGAGGCGAATTGCTAATGAGCTACAGGAGCTCTGCAGAAGAAAAGTCCTTAAAAATGACACAGGTAAGTGATTTTGGCGAAAAACTTCATGACAGTTTAAAGACAACTGAGAACACTTAAAGTTGGTAAAAAACAAACAAACAAACAAACAAACAAACAAACAAATGACTGGAGTGGGATTTTAACGAAACGTGACCAATCTAACAAACTAGCTAAATATGCTAACAAAGTAGCTAAATATGCTAACAAACTAGCTAAATATGCTAAGAAAGTAGCTAAATATGCTAACAAACTAGCTAAATATGCTAACAAAGGCGCTAAATATGCTAAGAAAGTAGCTAAATATGCTAACAAACTAGCTAAATATGCTAACAAAGTAGCTAAATTTGCTATATATATGCTATATGAAGCCATTTCTTTACATCGCCCTCCCACCACTTGATAGAGGAGGGCAGCAGAACAATAACATTGTCTCATTTTCGATGAGACTGAAAAATCTTCTTTTTTATCATCAGTTATCATTGTTTTCATCCTTGATCCTCTAATAATTATGATTTGCATACAGCTGCTATGAAAAAACGCTGGCTCCACGTCCAGAAACAGAAGACGTGTCCAAAATCCATACAAGACATCAGGGCGGCTGGGATTTTGCAGCGCTGACTCACACAGCAGGTCTGTATGTCTTTCCAGGATTGAGGAGACATGAGTTGAGGATTTGGGTGTTTCACAGCATTAGAAAGTTCCCTCTGAACAGCGTGGCTTCAACTCTGTGACAGCGGTCCCTGAACAAACCCTGGAGGATACCAGTGATCAATTTTTGATTCTGACTTTGCTCTGCTTCTGCCGGGCGCTCTGTTCAAACTGTCAAAGAGGGAGAGAAACCCAAAAATGCTCCAGATGAGGAGAGCACATCCTGCAGGTCAGACCTGGACCACACGCCAAAATAAAAAACCATGACATGAACCTGAAAGCTGCCAAAATGTGAACATTGTCCGCCGTTAGCAAAGACTGCTTCACTGGACGGGTTCCACGTATTTCCCTGCCAAGCATCATCAGGAAAAAAAGCTAAAAAACGTGATTCTGTTTCCTCTGAGAGTTTTTCAGATCCCTGTAATTCTGGTTTCTGCATGTCCTCAGAGGATTTACAAGGTCCTCCTCTCTGTACCAAAATGTTTTGTTGTAGCTGACCTCAGCCACGGCTCCTCGTAGATCAGCGCGGTGTGCCTCTGTCTCTGCACATGTTTATCCTGTCCTGTGTCTGATAACGCGGCAGAATAACAGAGCGCAGCCGGCCCGCTGCATTAAGAGATAAGAAGCAGCTCAGACGAGGGCTACGACGACGAGGAGCCAAATGTCAGCCTGTCACCGCTGTGATGAGTCACAGGGTGAAAGAGTCGCCGTGACATTTCGCCACAGAGGAGGTCTGATGGAGGAGGTGTGATGGCGGTCCTGTTTGTGTGTCAGGGTCAGGGATGAGGACAACGTTCATTCACAAACTGCACTTACAAGGAAGAAAAATCACTTTAATGCAGTAAAAAGTGAAAATTTATCAAGAAAAAGTCAAACCTTTGTGCATCATTGTCATTTTGTGTTTTTGTGCTTACAGTGTGCAGGACATAGGGCTGCACGATTAATCGATTTTAAATCGTAATCAGATTATCTTATTATAACAATGGTAAAAAAAATATTAAAATAATCAAATCAATTTTCCTTTCTAGCATGTCTCGTACCTCCAGGCTCCCTTTTCCTCCCCAGCAAACCACTCCCCGCTGCAAAGTCTGTCTGAAGATGGTATCAACCCGTCCACATGGAAACGCAAAAGTTTTTTGTGGTATCGGCGTTTCCTCCACATGGAAATGGCGTTTCAGGTGACTGTAAATGGTACTTTTGAAAACTGGTCAGATTCAGTACAGTCAAAAGAACGGATCTTCCCATCACTAAAGGCGACCATGTGACACACAGCGTAACTCTTTTATGGCGCCTAACCTTAACCTTAAAGTTTATTTGTGGCTCGTCTTATGTGGACATGTCCTAAAATTATTTTCTCCCGTCGATCAGAACAAAGTGAGTCAAAAATATCTTTGGCTTGGACATAAATTTAAATTCTTATCACTGTGTTTTAGGACTGGATATAAATGTTTCCTTAAGTACATGAAGAAGAAGAAAAACTTTATTGATCCCTGAGTGGAAATTCAATATTAAATTTAAGAGCATTTTCAGATTTTTTATTTTTGTCTTTATCTGTGTTTATTGTTTAATTTGTATTTGTTTCCGTTTGATGTTTGTTTTTTATCTTGATTTTTTTTATTATGTATCACATTATAATGATTTAAATTAATAAAAGGGAAAGATAAAAATTGCACTTCTTATTCACTATTGTAAAATACAAAATACAGAGAAAAGTATATTCCAGTCAAACCCACTCAAATGAAAAAATGTGTGATCAGTTTTCTACTTTGAATTTGATTCAAATTAAACCCAAAGGCAAAGTGTTGATGAGGAAATGTGAAAAAGCATATTTCATATTTTAGCCCAAGTTGTAAGAAATCCCAAAGTTTTAATGGACAGGAAATAAATAAGGAGGAGATAGTGTCTAAGACAAATTGGTTTTCTATAATTAAAACCCAGCCTGAGTGGTCCCGGATACACTGCATTAAAACAGCCAGCGTTAAATCCTGCCACAGATCTCTCAGATTAGGAGTCATTTCTGCGGATTTGTGTGGCAGTATGGCTGGAGATAAGAGCGACTTAAATGAGCAGACTGTGTGAATGTTTGACATGATGATAGTTTCAAACATGGTTTGAATCACTAATGCACACACACACACACACACACACACACACACACACACACACACACACACACTCTCACACTCCCAGGGTGCAGCAGGCGGCTGATCTCTTCATTTTCTCCTCTGAGAACCTGACAGCTGCTCATAAATGAACCGAACATGCCGATGTGACGAAAGATACAGAGTCAAATTACAGATCAGTAAAAGTTCGACTGATTCAAACTTTTTATCGAAAGATTTATCAGCAATCAAAAACTTTTGGTAATCCTCACCGTGATCATGAAGAAAAGCTCGTTATCTTCCTACTGTCCACATTCAAAGATTGAGAAGAAGTCATGTGACCCAGGTGTTTCCAGGTGGAAAGGAAAACGGGAATGTGGTGTACCACAGGGTTCAATCCTCGGTACACTTCTTTTATCCCCTCACACACAAGACGACCTTACTTTGGGAATGCCTCATGTTTATCACTTGAATCGGTCAATCTTTATTTACACAGTAGCAGGTCACAACAAGTTCTTAAGAAAAAAGCTGCTCAAGACCAGATTTTATTAGGCCAGAATTTCACTATTTGGTTCACCTCAGTGTGGCAAAGGTTCATCCTGAGTTTGGTATTTGTTTGATATCATTTTGAAGGGGACCCTTGTGGCTTTCATTTAAGCCCATATGTGTTCATCTTAGACCAACATGGAAGTCACTAGAGCTCTTTAAATCACAAAAAAATACACATTTTCCTACATGATATACTTTCCTTTGGCCATATGTCACTCAGGGACATCAGAGATACAAGAATTACAAACCGCAATACTCTTGGGACTCATAAGAATCAGAAAATGTGTAACATACCCATACTATTTCTTTGGGCATCTCCCATCAGGGATATCAGTCAGAACAGAAAATTGAATCCATTTCTGCCGGTCTCCCAGCTGCAAAAGTTACCGTTTAGTATTAATTAGCGTAATTATTGATATATGGATACATGAAGGTCACTAGAGCTCCTTAAACCACAAACAACATTTTTTCTTCACAAATTCCGCCTAAGGTATTTTCTTTGTTTTAACTCTTTGGTACCTCAGACCACCTGAGACAAAAACAACAGATACTGCAATACTGACTTGCCTATGGAGTTTCAGAAACAAAAACATCCCCATATTCTTAAAATCTGGGGGACTGATGGAGACTCTCCCCCTCTCTGGTATCCACGACTTTTTTAATAAAAACAGGAATGAAAGGAGCTCGCCGGGAGGAAAGGGAATGAGGAAGTGGAATTCTCTGGTAAGTTGTGAAAAACCGATGTCTATAACTTGATCCCGCTGGTTAATTTGGCAAGGATCGCTGTAGAAATTAGCGTTAACGACCATCCATGGTTTTTAAGCACTCTGCTGACACGCCGATTGCACGAATGGATTTAAATCATTTGCACGATTGAAGCGAGTAAATACCATTTATTCATGCACCAACATACGCACAGGCAGAAACCTGGAAATCCTTCACCAGGCAGAAACCTGGAGCAGAACCAAACCGAGCGTCTTTGTTTACAAAAAACGACCTTTGTTCATGCAGGTCCTGCAGATTTGACCGGACGATCCCACAGAGCTACGCATCGACTGTTAACCACACTTTGGACTGATCTCGCCCCCTCCTTCCTTTCCAGGCATCTCCAGAGACTTTCATGCTGTTGTAAAATCTGCCGAAGGCGTCACGTCTGATGTGATTGATGGTTCTGCTGATGGCGAGCTGTCCGCTCCGCTCCTCCTGAATACAAAAAGGCTCACGACCTTCCCAAAACTTCTCCCCGGCGATGTCAGACTGACATGGAAGGTGACAGGAATCTGGTGCATGTGTGTGATTATGGTGGTGTGCTGCTGGTGATGAGTTGTGCAGCAGCTCCTTTGGTATGTAAAGTACGTCAGAAACTCTTCTCGGCGCCCTCTTTGCACAGCTCCAGCAGAGCGAGCATCTACCCAGCTCGAGTTTGTTTCTCCCTCTGAAGAACTGTCTGGGTGAATAATATCACTCTCGAGGTCTGAAACCCTCGGGAGCGCCGTTAAATCAGCAGCAGCGCTCCTTTCTCTCCGTTAGCAGTGTTTGAACCTCCTCCTTTTCTGCCCCTCAGGACCCTACTGTATATCCAATACACCTGCCGTGAGAATGACGTTATTGATTTTCAAAGACAGATTGATACGATACAGTGCGGATAATCAACTGTCCCTGCAGCTCCAGGGAAAAAAACACACTACCCTTGAGGAACTTTTCTCTAAAAACAGAAAGTTTTTTTCTCTCTCCCTCAGAAAATAAGACAGATTGAGTTTCAAGGATTCGCAGAAACTTTTACACCCTGAAAGTTTGGAGCTCTGCTAACTTGACCTACTTTCTTGGAGGGATCATTTAAAGAGTCGGTGAAAGCTAATAAAGAGGAGGATATATTGTGTGGACACACTCGTTGGTGAGACGCATGTTGGAAACTTGCAGCTCGGACTAATTTCACAGGCAAAAACAATCACAGACAGAGAGAGAGAGTGACTTTCTAAACTGGATATTTCTGACTCACAAACAACAAACACAAATCACACTTTCTCAGAAACATGAACGATCACGTTTACCTCTTGATTTCTGTGGTCTTGTAGGAACCTGATCGTGCTTTAAGTCTTCTAAGCATGAATATTGATCAAACCAGACCTACAATAGACAACAATAACAAGACTCCAATCACATCAATCGATCACTTATTAGTGTGCATTCACTGGTCAGATGATCCTTCATACTTGTTTTAAAATCCTCATCCAAACATAAACTAAACTTTTAATATAACTTAAAAGAACAGCCACAAATAAATTAGTAACAAGTAAACAAATAAAAATTTATCAGCTCTGTGATCGCCGGCGATAACTTGCTAATGCTAATACTTGGCGCGTGTTGCGTGTTGCGCATGCATGTACTGACACATGATTTCGAGTTAGAGCCGTGTAAATAAAAAAAACCCTCATTTTTAAGGTGTGCTGGCTTTCATTTAGCTGTGACGGTTCACCACGATCAATTGCAAATCCTGACGTTGGTCGTGTTGCCTTGGGGAGCAGACACGACAGCGTGACGAACTTTGCAAACAATTTCCTTTTGCTCAACGTCCGTCAAATTAAAGCCAAAATGTTTCCAAATAAGTCATCCTAACTTTCTTCTCAACCAAACGCTGCCTTCCTGCCATGTTTTCAATCACTCGCTCCTTATATTATTATGTTTATAATGTTTTTATGATCGTTAGAGGCCAAAATCAAAATCATGATCAAAAGTCGATTAATTGTCCAGCACTAGTGAGGAGGGAAGGCCAAATTTATCCATATTTAATTTATCCAGCAAGTTGATAGAAAGTAGTGCAAAGACGAACATATATGAAACATATATACTCTTTGTAAATGTGATATCTGCAGCAGGTTTCAAGATGAAACCCTGGAAAAGCAGATGGAAGATCATCTCCCACCCAGCTACATTCATTTACAACAGGTTAGTAAGAGCATTACAGAGAGTTCGTGGATGTATTTCTGGCTCTGGCCACCAGGGGGGCTCAGCTATCAAACCCTCCCTCCACTCACCTGTCCATCTGTTCACTTTAAAACAGCAAACTTCACTTTGCAGAAGTTTACAGACGGGGTTCAGCCTGCAGGGGGACATCGTGCACTCAGAGCTTTGTTTGCTACACACAAATACACACACAGAGACCCACACACTCGCCTGTTTGTGTGTCTGCTGCTCTTGTTGCTGCCACAGTTTGATCATCATCAGAATTTCAAAGCAGTGTGTATCTGTGTACAGTCAGTGTGTACAGGTGAGTCAGGTTATGAAATGTCAGGCTGACACACACACACACACACGCACACACACACACACACACACACACACACACACACACACACACACACACACACACACACACACACACACACACACACACACACACACACAAATATGGTCTTATGCATCCACATCCCTACAGTATTTCTGCTCTATTTCTCCAGATACGTCTGGCTGTGTGTTGGTGTGTAGTTGTGATTTAGACACATTGTACCGTACACGGCGTGCAGACTCGGGGAGTCACGGAAAGGTTACGCTGGTGGCTGAAGGCAAGTTTGATTTGGAAGCATCATCAGGATAGAGAAGCATCTCCATCCTCGTTACCACAGGTTAGACTTAGAGAGTTTGACATCTCCTTCCAAAACAAACTTCACGTCGCCTGGGCTTCGGTACAACTCGTTATCAGAGGGACACCTGGCATTCTGGGAGAGTTCTTCTTTGGACTATTTCGAGCCTCCCAGAGCCAAACGAGAGGATCTCACACTTCTGTTAAACTGTTTCACTTTTGGAAATCACTGCGTGCAATAAACTGAGCCCTTAGTAACCATAGCAACAGCGTTGATGCTCCACACAACCCAGGAATAACTTAAAAGTGAAATTTTAGTTTATGAATGACCTGCCTGAGACTCGATCTGAAGTTGGTTTACATATATAACGATCCAGTTATCTATACAGCTGCAGGATTACTGCTGACCTTTGACCTTTCACTCTGTGTTAAAGCTGCTTGATTATGTCCTTATATTGATGATAACATGACTCACTTTTACCATTATATTTTAACACTATGTTATGGAAATCTGTTAGATCAGATGTGGTTATTCTATAATTTAGGACTGCAGTATGTCGGTGTTCATGAAAAGGGTCTTTAGCTTTTTATAAAGGGACTCTGGGGATCTAATTTTTTTATGTAGTTCTAAATTCTGAGATTATAATGCTCATGTGAAATTGAATAAACCGTTTTTAATTTTTGTGAATATGTGTCGCGGTTCAGACAGTGACAGGCGGACATGAAAATGAAAAAGCAATTGCCCGTTTGGTTTCTCTTTTGAATTGTGTTACGAAATGTGCAGCTCAAATAAGAAAATGAAAATGCAGTTTGTATTATTTATTCTTCATTTTATTTCTGAGTCAAATTATGCAGATTTGACTTTGTAACGAAAAAGGCCATACTTTGACATTTCCAACCGAGTTTTGGTTCATATTTGCTGGAGCATATTTTGAAAATTTAACCTCAAATGGATTTTTCTTTTACATTTGAACGACATTACAGAATGATCAGTTTTGAAAAAGAAAAAGCAGTTTGGATTATTTTGTTTTAATTTCTTTTATGAGTCAAGAAGTGCAGCTACATCCTGAAAATGCAAATGCACTTCTGTTAATCAATTTTTATTTTAATTATGATACAAATTTGCTTACATGGCCAAACGGGTTTCGTGGTTCCCTGTGTTTTCTTATCTGTGCTCAACGGGTCCAAACAGCTCTTTGAGTGTTTAAGGTTGCTAAGCTCTGGTCTAGTGGGGCTCAGGGTCCTGCTAATCGAAGGTGCCTCTTTAAGTAGTACATAATAGGAGGAGGGTAGGAGTGAAGTCCCGGATAAGGGATTCTAGGTTTGCTGGAGTCATTTTTGTTGCTGCAAGAAGTGGAGTTCTCAGTTTGACTGTGACCTGCCAGTAAGGAGTTGCAGTTGTCTATGGTGGAGCACATGAACAGTAAAAGTTAACGAGTTTTCAATCATGACTGCTGGATTTCAGCGAACTCAGTGGGCATGAGTTTTAGTGAATTACTGTTTTTTTTATTTCAGATGATCAGATTTTAATATGAGCAAATCTTGTAGCTTGAATCTGAAACAGCCGGGCCTTAAACATCAGTTTTCTTAGAGCGTGCTAGGTGTGCGGTATGTTACCATGGTGATCTATACCAGTTGAATCACAGAGGAGCTCCCTGTGGTGCAAAGAAGAATTTGGGCTTCAGATCCACCTTTGTTCCTGAACACCCCTCTGGTCTGCCGCTCTTCTGTTCCCCGTCCACAGAGAAGAATCTCCATTATTCACTGGAGAAAAGCCGGTTCCCCACAGAGATGATCACAAAGAGCCAGGAAGAATCCCTGATCCAAGTTTAATGCCCTCCCCGTCCCCCTAAAGCTTTTATTTGAGGTACTTTCTGTTCCATATCATCTGCCTCTGAGTCATCTGTTTTATTGCGAGTCTCCCCTCGGTGTCGGTCCTGCTTTCCACTCCAGAAGCAGCGAGTGATTTGAGAAAGCGTTTCTTTTAAATTTCATATATCGTCCTCGGTGATGGCTGCAATAAAAGGGTTTATATGTAAATCCACAGAGGATGAGGCGTCCAGCCTCGAAGCAGAGGCTAAAGTCCATCCAAACACCGTCATCTCAGTCTAAATATTGTCCTTACCTTGTACGAGAGGAGGCAGGAAGCAGAGCCATAAATATGCAACAGCTCCTTCACCGCCTCTTCTATATGTGCTGCCCCCCCCCCTCTGGATGTTTGTGCAGCCGGGATGTGTGACCCAAACAGCAGGTGGTGGGCAGGTTTGTGACAATGATTACAGGTGATAAATATTTAAATCCTCCCCGACAGCAGGGAAACATTTACTGTGGAGGGAAACAGCAGCTATTTGGTTTACAAGCCTGAATGCTCGGCTCACTGGGATCCAGCAGAGCGAGGGGGGGGGGTTCGACACGCAGGCAGGTGTGTGTCAGTGTGAGTGTGTGAGGAGGCAGTTAAAAAGACAGGCTGATTTAATTATTCCCGGATTCCTGCAAATTGCACGACACCTGACTGAGAGCTGCACTCTGCCTGTTAACCGATCACAGATTGATCTGAGAATTAGATTTCGAGGCAGGCGTGCTTCGTCCTGATTGACCTTGAAAACACCTGATTCTGCCTGCGAGGCTGAAAAGCAAACACCAAAGAGAGGTAAAAAAGGAGAGGATGTAACCAGAC